TCACGCGCTACCATGACACCTACTTCATCACCGGCATCGTGAGCTGGGGCGAAGGCTGCGCACGCAAAGGCAAATATGGCGTCTACACACAGGTGTCCAAATTCATCCCATGGATTCGTGATGGCATCAAGGAACTGTTGAAGACAGGGGAGAGCAGCAGGAAGAAGAGACACCACGGCACCATCACACGGCTGTATCTGTGAAACATCTGAAACACTGAGCAGAGTTTAGTCTAATTTTGCATAACAACCAGAGGCTTCATTAACAGCTGCTGACTTTAGCAGCTACATTAGTGCTAATGGAGTTCCTCTGAGCTCTGACCTTGACCTCCTAAATTCCTTATTTTTCTTTAATTTCAAACAGATGGTTTCTATATATGTAGGGCAGCAGGAAGATCTATAAATTAAAACTGAATTTATTTTTACTTAAATATACTAATTCCAGTGAATGTTTTGTTTCAAGTCCTTTTAAAATCTGTCATTTTTTTATGTTCAGCTCTGTGATTTATTTACGAACATACGCTGGTCTTAAAAGACGTAAATTGTCTCATTAAAGCTGATTTTTAAGTTAGCTGTGCAAAATTTTTTCAAAGTGTGGAATTTATTTTGGTTTTCTTTTTTTATGATCAGTAGCAAAACCGAGCATTTAATTTGAACCTGAAACAAATAAAGTACTGAAGGACACACTTTGTAGGTATTTACTGAATATGACAAAAACAAAACTTTGGATAAAATTTAACTTCCTCCTTATTCTTTAAATTAATTTTTATCTCATATTACTGAAAGGTGGGTGATAATGATTTGTCTGTCTGTTAGCAAAATATCTCAACCACTGGACAGATGTGCATCTACACGTGCTTGTTGTTTAGAGTCAACAGGACTGAAAATGGCTCTTACAACTAACTGACAGTGAACACAAAAATCACTCAATCATTGTAAGACATAGAGCTAAAATTTGGTACGGATAGACGACAGCTATTCCCAAGATGGCCACTACATCTAATGCTAAAACAGTCACACCTGTGTCATTTTAAAACCTTTTAAGCTAATTTCCTGTCCCCAGTCATGTTGATACAAGATGAGTAATAAAAAATATCACATCAAGCAGACGGGCACTTCAAAGTTTCAGTACAAAATTTTAGATACATTTAGCAGGACGTGTGTTAGCATTAGGCTAACTTTATGTTTATTCAATCATTTACGTGAAAACTT